AGATTTCTAGGACTCCAAAAAAGTAGTAATAACCCTGTTTCCCTGCGCGCGCGCGCGTGTGTGTATGTGTGTGTGTGTCACGGGGTGGGGCGGGGGGGGGGGTGGTGATGGTGAGAGTACATGACCTCAAGCTTTGGAAGTATCTATAACTCAGGAAAATATTGCAAGAGGTATTTGTTTGCCGCTGACATTTTATTTGAACACGAGTTTGTGGTGGAAAGGTGAGATTCACTGTTTGCTTTCAGATCAAAGTTGTACCAGCTTATTTGCCTTCAGAGATTTTTCCCTTTCTTTCACATACTTTCAGGTATCTAGCTGGGTACACTGTCTGTGCTTGCAATATTTGCTGTCAATATTGTTGTGGCTCTCTGCTTAATCTTTAAGCAGGTTAACCTATGGCTCCCAACTCTGGCTAATGAAATTGCTATTTTTCAATTTGGGGTGATTATTAGCAATTATTATGGGCAGAACATTGTGGCATTCAGGAGCTTCGGATGAATCAGAAAACCTGCCGTAATATGGGCCAGTGCAGTAAGTTCTATGGGAGAGCTTATGGGGCTGAGGAATCCAGGAGGACTGAAGAGGTAGGCGGTACTTACACTGTTACACCTCACTGTCATCTTGTAGGTGTCCTGATTGTTTTATAGCTGTAGCTGTACCCCTGAAAATGTATATAATCCCATGCATCTCACCCCCAAGTTTCACTTGATGAAACCATTATGGGAGAGATTGCTTTATCACAAGTGTCCTTTAGAACGAATGATTGTATTGCAAGAATACTTAACCTATTCCAACTAAATTTTGGGTATTGCTTTGGTGGACTTCATTGAATGGAAAATTCAGAGTGATGAGAAGTTTTCTTTTAGTTGTTATCTTTTGTTTTCTTTTATTTTGGGTTTTGGGGGGCTACACCCATCAGTGCTAATGGCTTACTCCTGGCTCTACACTCAGGGATCACTCCCACTCCTGGCAGTGCTCAAGGGATAATATGGGATAGGGGCTTGATCCAAGATTGGCTGCATGCAAGGCAAGTGCCCTATCTGCTATTGCTCCGGCCCCCAACTGCCGTTAACTTTTGTGGCAAAGATGATACCTTTTTGGGTAGTTTATCGCAGTACAGTAGTTCTTGAAAGGATTATTTCTGGATCTTAGAAGCAGTACCCGTATGACAACTAAGAGGAGAAGAACAGGGAGAAACTTGCTAGTTGTGTCTCTTATGGAAAACTAAGCTCTATGATGTGTTTTCACCATAGAATAAGGATAATAATACCTTCTTTAGGGAATTAAAAGAAATATTTTATTTTATTCATTTATTTTTTGGTTTTGGCTCACACTTAGCCAGATGTATTCCTGGCTCTATACTCAGGGATCACTCCTGGCAGTGCTAGTGATCAAACCAGGATTGGCCATGTGCAAGGCAAAGTGCCTTTACCCCTGCACTATCTATCTGGCTTTCAGACTGGTTTTTTTGTCCATGGAATATGGACATCAACCTGATCTGCAGTAATATCCATTCGGGCAAGCCCGATTTCAACTTCTACAGATGCAAAGTGACTGCTTGCCTCTAAGCTAACCATTTTCCTTTCAATTCTTCCCTCCCTACCTAGGAGAACAAGGTGGTTTTTTTCTTTTTATCTCTTCCTTCCTTCCTTTCTTTCTTTCTTTCTTTCTTTCTTTCTTTCTTTCTTTCTCTTAGAGGCATAGAAGGATGCTTTGAAGCCACCCCACCGAGTAATCAGAGCAAGCATTTGCTGAGCCCCTTGTAAGCCTTTTATATGTGTGTTCTCATAGTATTTTTTTATATTTCATCTTATTTTTATAAAGTAGTTTACAATATTTGATTGCATTTAATATTCAAACATCAATCCCACTATCATTACACCTTTCCACCACCATATTTCGGATGTTTCCATCCCGAATCCCAACCCCTACCCCAAAGCAGAACCAAAATAATTTATTTTGTATTGTTTGTTATGAATAAATCAACGAAAGTGCTTCGAAAAACTTTCCTTAGAGGAGAGTGTGTAAATATTGTTGTATTTCACCCAGGGGGCATTAAGCCCTTCTATGAGAGATTACTAATATGTTGTTAAAGGTTGAGCCTTGGTTCACGTAGTACTGACCACCATAAGGAGCAGGACTATCATGAGTTCCTTTCTACAGATGAGGAAACAGGCTTGGGAAGAAGTTAAGTTGCCCCACAGCATGCATGTAAGTGCCAGAGTTTGGGAAGAGGGGGTTATACTTTGTGAATTTGAAGGAGACTTTCCCCAACTCCTAGGCTTGCTGTATGTCCTTTAGAACTTCATGTCCTGACAACCAAGCGCCAGGATCCAGCTGCTTTTGGAAGATTCTTTTACTCGTCTTCCTGTGGGAGAGGCCTGCTTTTACTTCATATGCTGCTTTAGTTTCCTGTGCCTGTTTTTTAGCAAAGGATCACCAATTTGATGACTTAAACTACAGAAACATATTCATTCTTGTAGTTCAGGCCATTTCCAGCCAGACGGTCAGTGTCAAAATGTCGACAGCACCCTACTTGCTTCAGAGGCTCTCGGGTAGCAATTCCTTCTCTTGCCTCTTCTGGCTGTCACTTCTGTCGTGGTTCCCTGGTCAGCACCCCAGCCTGGACCTTCCTATTTCTGTGGCTTCTCCTTGGTATCATCCCATCTTCCCTGTGATTCTCTTGTGAAAAACCTGTCCATGAACTTAGGATCCACCTAGGAAAAAAGCCATTTAAATACTCTCAGCCTTTCAACATCCTTAACTGAATTATTCCAGCAAAGTCCCTTTTCCTAAATAGGTGACATTTATTTGCAGCTTCTGAAACTCAGAAAGTGGACATCATTTTAGGGCAATGCTGACTTCCCTCCTGCCCCTCTCCCCCATGCTGATGCTTTTCCAGTACAAAGACGAGCATCTAGCTAGTCTAGTTTGCTAGCTCTCGGGGGGAGGGGGGCATGTACCACATCCTGCTCAGATGACTTCCTCAGGGGAGAGCCACAAGATCCCACAGCAGGGTCTGGCAAGGCGTTTCCTTGGCTCTTAGGTTCATGACATCTTTATTTAAAGTCCAGCTAAAAGCCTCTGGGGCTTCCCCTGAAGTGGCTGTCACCTCTCTCACGAGGTTTTGTTCTCTTTCAGATTGCTGACCTGCAGCTCCACAAACTGGATGAACTGGACTGTCTGATTCAGGGCCTGCTCTATGTCGACTCCGTTGGCTTCAATGGCAAGCCGGAATGTTACTATTTTGAAAATCCCACAAATCCTGAATTGTGTCAAAAAAAGCCGTATTGCCTTGATAACCCGTACCCTATGTTGCTGGTGAACATGGGCTCGGGGGTCAGCATTCTCGCAGTGTACTCCAAGGACAACTATAAAAGAGTGACAGGGACCAGGTAAACATGGCTTCCACTAGGAGAACATCTTTCTGCTTAAACTCAGGTCTCATCCTTCAAGTTTGGTCTAGGGAGGGAAAGGGGACTGATGTATTTAAAAGATCTTATCCTCTTCAGTCAAACTGAAGGGATTTATTGAGCATGGTGTTGAGGAGTGAGAGGGTGATTCACATTAAGTTAAAAGAACAGTCATTGCCATTCTGGAAACTGGGCGGGGTGCGGAAGAAGGGTTGCAGGCTTCAGGAGTTTTCCCAGAAGGAGAGGGCAGGAAGCACACGGAAGTCGGGGGTGGGGGTGGGGGCTGAGAGGGAGTGCTTGGGATGTTCAGAGATGGCTTCAGAAGACACCTTTTGGAACCTCCTTGATGAGCAGAGCAGAATTTGTTTGAAATAATGTCTCTTCCCACCTAGGAAAGCAAAGTGAGTTGATAAAGAATGTTTTACCACCAAAGAGCTGAAACAGTTGGCATCCCTAACAGAGTGTTGGCTTGCAGTGGGCAGTGACCTCGTGCCATTGGGCAGAACTCCTCGTGTTTTTTAGTGAACCCATAGTCCAGGGCCTATAGAAGGGCAGCCAGCAGCTTCTGGTTGAGGGGGATTCAGCAGGGGGAAAAGACCCCAGGTCAAAGATCTGGAGAAATCATTATGTCAACCAAAGTAAACTGATTTTCCTTCCTTCTGAGAGAAAGGTTTCGTGTGGGTTGCTTCTCCACTTGCTGGACCACAGAAGCATTTGTGGAAGAACAGTGTGAGAAGCAATTGCCCTGTGCAGTATGCTTTGGGACATTGTCCTGAAACTTTTAGATAGATGAAGTTAAGAAAAGCTCTCTGTCTGGAACAACTTTCTGTCCTGGTTTGTGCTGTGAAGGAAGCTGTTTCTTAGTTTTAGTGTTTTGAGCATGACTCTTGCTTTATGGTCACAAAACCCTGTCTGGATGTCCAGGTGTCTTTTAATAGATCTCAGAGATCTGGAAGTTTCCTTTGAGGAGATTGTACATGTTTCTCTTAGCCTGGCAGCTTGCAGCTGTGGAAAAGAGCAGTACACTTCTGCCACTTTTCTATGACTTGTAAATCATTGCTCACCACTGGGACAAGGGAATCTATGGAGGGGATGTTGGGCAATGTCTGGAGACCTTTCAGTTGTTACAACTGAGCCTCACTTTGTGGCTAGACGTCAAGGTCCTTGCTAAATCCCTGCAACATATATGGCAACCTCTACTCTGATAGGACTGTATCAAGCCTCAAATTTGTTGTGAAATCTGGTACATAGAGGCAGGTACACACAAACATGTTCTGACCGAGTCCTACTTGTGTTCAGAAGATTGGCTGGTGCTCAAGTTAATAGCCATTAGGTTTACATTTTCTTATAGAGGTGACGGAGCTCAACTAATTGGGTCACATAAAATTGTCTGTGATACCACCGTTTCTGGAGCTGATCTGATAGAGATGACTAAACATTTGAGTTGAGTTAGTTTTGCTTTAAAGAGTGATCCTCTGATAAAGCTAAAATGTTTAAGAACCTACATGTTCCAGAAAAAATCGAGTTGGTAGAGCTAGTCCCAATGTAACAACATGTCAAACTTTTCCTGTAATTATAGATATTTAGTTCCATCTATCAACACAAATTCATGAATTATATACCACAGGTCTGCTCTCAAATTTGACGGTTCTGGTAGTCTGGGCTGTCTCCTGGATAGCTGCTAAAGATCTGATTGTGGCATTTGGTTTCTGTTGACCATGTGACATACCTGAAAGTCCCAGTGACTAGTAAATGCCCATTAATGACTTTGTAATGATCATCAATTTCTGTCTGAAAAGCTTTTCTATGAGATTCCTGCAACCAGTAGTTGGGAAGTGTGCTTCAAGGAGATTGAGGATTATTCAGAAAACCCTTTTAATGTGTCTCCAAGCATCGGGGAGAGGAAGGAAATTTCACTTCTTATGGGCCCTGATCCACATGGTCCAGCTAGAGTTGTTTTGAGTTAGAAACCACTGACATAAACTGTGATGGATGTATGTCAGTCAGTGTGGGTGTCACTGATCCAACTAGTAGTTTAGGATTTCAGTTTTGCTAACTCAGTTGTCACTTGATAGATGGTCACTCTAGATTTTTTTTTTTTATTCTATGATGCCCTGACATCTTATTGTCTCATTCCTACTTTGGACAAACTTGCAGGCTATTGAATGTAGCCTGCCCACAGGGCAGAGTCTGGCAAACTCCCCGTGGCGTACCAGATATGCCAAATACCAGTAACAATGATGGGTCTCATTCTCCTAAAGAGCCTTGAATATCATCTCAGGGCTAGGATGAAAGAGATGTTACTGGGGCCTGCTCGAGGCAATCGATGAATAACAGGATGATGAAATGAAAAAATGAAAAATGAAATTCTATGATGCCCTATTTTCTAGTAAGCAATTTTAGTTTTAGGAAGTTGTATCATAGTGGGACATCAGTTTTTTGTGGTTGTTGCTGGTTTTTTAATGTGGGGGGAGTGAGGGGTGGTCACGGCCAGTGATGCTCAGGGGTTATTCCCACCTTGGCACTCAGGAATTACTCAGGGAACCATACGGGATGGCAGGGATTGAACCTGGGTTGGCTGCATCTCTAAGTTGTGTGCAAGGCAAATATCGTACCTGCTGTACTATTGTTCTGGCCCCAAGTTTTCTTTAAACATTTAAGTGGTTCATTTCAGTGTCTGTCATATGTGATTTGATTGCATCCTAGTTTAGATATGATAGAACTCAAAACAGGACTTAGAACTGACATAGATTGTGGTTTATTAAAAAAAAAATCAAATGATAGAGCTTGATGTAGTTCAAGTAATAGAGCACATGTCTTCACATGTGCAAGGCCCTGGTTTTGATACACAGCACTGCATGGTCCCCCAGAGTACAAAAAGGAACATAAAGAATTTGGAAACGGGCCAGAGCAGTAGTGCCGTGGGTAGGGCATATGGCTTGCACATAGCCAACCCAGGTTCAATCCCTGGCACCTCATATGGGTCCCTGAGCCCACGAGGAGTGATCCCTGAACACAGCCAGGAGAAAGCCTTGAGCACTGCTGGGTATGGCCCAGGAACAAAACAAGAAAAGAATGTGGAAACCTTGGTAAAAGTGGGACTCACCTGAATCAGAGACAAAGTACAGGAGGTAAAGCACTTGCTTGCATGTGGGCGACCCTGTTTCAGTTCCCAGCACCACATATAACCCTCTGAGCACTGTCAGGAGTGACACCGCTACCCCCTGTAAAAAAAATGTTAAGGTCATTTCAGAGTCCATGTGAAGAGCACAAGAATTGAGTTAATACATTTTCTCTTGGGTCTCCCTACAAGGTATCTGGGTTTTTCAAAATGCAGTGTGCTTCGTCTCTGATTTCCTGAGAGTCTCTGTGGGTATTGCTGAAATAGCCGTATCTGAGTATGAGTTACAGAATCACTCAGTTAAATTATTGCGATAGGGTGAAGATGCGAAGGGAGTTCTCTTCTGCAACTCTGCATTCTTTCCTCCTCTGCAGTGGTCTGGCTGTGCCAGTGCATGCTCGCTTTCCCCATTCAGCTCTGATTCTTTGTCTGGAGTCACCTGTCATTGTCCAGCCATGCAAAGCACTTAGACTGCTTCCCTCATAGCAATGCATCAGTTGAGTTGCCTTCTTTCTAAGACAGCCCATGTCTTCAGTGCTGACGTTTGGAGCAGGTTGTTGAGTACATTGATCAGTAGAAATACCTGATGCTGAAAGCAAAGTTATGTGGATGAAAGACAGAAGCTAGACATGACTGACAATTAGACAGAGAATAAAACCAAGACTAACTCAGGTGGCACATAAAAGAAGTGCCTTTGTTAAAATTAAACTAGCTCTGGGCCAGGGATGTGGCTCAGTGCTAGAGTCCAGGCCTCAGGTGTATGATGCACAGGTTTGATCCCCGGCTTCTCAACACAAAGTGCTAGCTTTGTGGGGTAGACTGAAGCCACAGGGCACGCCACGTAAAATGTGAGTAAAGAGACATGTAGAATAAATCTAAAACTTTGGCCATAACTCAGTTGCTGAGGCAATAAGGTCTTTGGATCTCTGTTTCCTTGTTGGTCCTGAGCCTGCAGTTTGGATAGCTGCTTCTGGTGGTGTGGAGCTGTAAAATATTTTCTTGAGACCCTATACTTCTAAACTACTGATATGCTCTGTAAGAATCACCAGGAAGTTTACATAAAGTTCATTTTAACTGAGATTTAAAGAACTACGTGCCTGTCTATAATCTGTTACCTACTGGCTAATGGTTATTGACAGTAAATAGAATTGTCCCTAATTTTTTTTTTTAAATTTCAGTTAAAAATAACCTGAATCTCAACTTGAATTTTCTCTTAGAATTAAAGCCTGTAGCCAACACATGAGATTTCTGGGCTAGCAGCTCTTGGAGCCTCAGAATAAATTGATGTGAGCGATTTATTCTTTTACATTTACTCTTCCCTGTGGTAAAGGAAGAGTGAAAAACCACGTTCCTATTCAAGTTCCTTCCTGTCTAGAGTGTGCTGGCGATATCTTTACTCAGAATCTGCTTTCCCTTGGCTAACTTTGATCTTAATACACAATTGAGTTCATTCTCAAGTACCGTAATGAGTTTCTAATTTTACCTAAAAAGTATTTTAGAGAATGTCTCTCCCTCCATCCCATTCCCCAACTCCACCCCCTCCCCCAAAGCAATGGAAATGCTTTTAAAACAGAGTTTGAGCTCTGGAACCATTTTATGAGCTTTGTGACTGTTTCCATGATTGGGTGATAAGTGGAGTACAATAGACTTTACCAGCATACACTAGAGAGGTGGGAGGGAAAAAAAAATTCCATCTGAGCCCAATTGCAGAAATCTCCCTGTAGAAATTTCCCAGGCGGTTTGGTGAGATTACCTCTGCTGGAAACAGGTCAAGTGCAAGATACTTTGAGCTGCTCTTCCTGGCTCATTCCCGAGTCAGTCTTGTTGACAGGGTTTGACATTATAGATTTGAACTGTACTTCACAAGCAGTTTGTTTTCCTAAGTATTTAGGGTTTTTTGTCTTTTTTAAAAAGCAACGATTTCCCTGGCTATTGCTATTTTTAGGGGACCCTCCCACCCCAATAAAGGAGGTTATGATTTCTATCTTCTCCATAGAGGGAACACTCAATGAAGGACTCAGCTAGTAGCTAGTTGAAGGTCTCACAACGGAAATCAATGAGTCTTGACTCTGGTTTTGTGCCTAAACTCAGGGCAAGTCTTCCTTGTGTTTCTTTGTAGTCTTTGCCCTCTTTATTCCAGCTACCTTAAAACTCTTTTGTACCCTCGCACTGTCACTCAAGTGCCCCTTTGTTTTCCTTCCCCTGTTGGGCAGAACCTCTTCTACTGATCTTGCTATAGTTGGGGACTTGGATGGGCATATCTTTCAGTCCATTTAAAAAAATAAACCTTATTGTTCCTTCAGTCTTGGAGGTGGAACATTCCTAGGCCTATGTTGCCTGCTGACTGGTTGTGAGACCTTTGAAGAAGCTCTGGAAATGGCAGCTAAAGGCGACAGCACCAATGTTGATAAGCTGGTGAAGGACATTTACGGAGGAGACTATGAACGATTTGGCCTTCAAGGATCTGCTGTAGCATCCAGGTAGAGCCTAAGTAGCTAGGAGCAGTAGTGCTTAAACCCTAGGAGCAGTACTAATTCAACCGAACGCAACCGCCGCCCCGGCCATTCATGTGGTTCTTTTTCCAAACGGCAACCCACCAGCCGGTGCAGTATCCATCTGTGGTATTAGAGCTCAGACTTGATCTGGCCCTTAGGAAGCACTGAGATAGTTCTTAATGCTTGTACTTACACTACGGCAGCTTTGAAAGAAGGTTCTAGAAAAAGTTTCTCCCATTGCATTCTTGTCTAGTTAATTTAGAGGCATTTTTGAAAGTTCCTTTTTGTTTTGTTTTGTTTTTTTTTCCCCGTTAATAGCCATGCTACTTTGTCCCGATTAAGGCAAGGACAGCTGACCATTCATATCGTAATCCTGTCTGCTTGTACACCGTGGTAGCCAAACCAGGTCATTTGGGTTTGGACAGAGTTATTCATAAAGCTTTCCACAGTACTTTGGTGGAAGAATGGGGCTGCCTGAGAATGATATTGAACACTCTCCGCTAATATTTCTGACATAGCTTTGGCAACATGATGAGTAAAGAAAAGCGAGAGTCCATCAGCAAAGAAGACCTCGCCCGAGCCACACTGGTCACCATCACCAACAACATTGGCTCCATTGCTCGGATGTGTGCCTTGAATGAGGTAAGGCCGGATCCCAGGGCAAGCTGTGTGTTGTTCATGCGCATCGCTTGGGTCGGGCAGCTGCTAGGCTTACAACACTCTGGGTGCTTGGGAATCTGTCTTTTGTCATAGCTGCCCCTTGTAGAATGTGAAGCTATGGTGCGGAGGGCAAGCGGGGAACCTGTGCTTCCTTACTAAAAGTAGGACCTGGATAATGACTCAAGTTATTTCACCATAGAAGCAGTAAAATTACAACCCATGCATCACCTCACTAACTGTCATTACTACCATGCACTTGCTGAAGCCAAAGAAAAACGCTCTGTGCATCTCTGTAAATAATGGCAGGTAACACTTTCCATTTGCCGCTTTGATATTCTCTCTGCTTTCAGCTTCTTTACAGTGTTGCCTTGTGGCATGGAGTTCAAGCAGCATTGTACAGGGCTATCAAAGCACAGAGAGCTTGCTACAGCCAAGGGCCCCAGCCCAAGAAGGGGTGGGGCTGGCCACAGACAAGACTTTGTTAACGTGGTATGAATGTTGCTAGATCCTTTGGAAAACAAATGTCACTGTCACTGTTGTCCGGTTGTTCATCGATTTGCTCGAGCAGGCCCAGTAATGTGTCCATTGTGAGACTTTTTGTTACTGTGTTTGGCATAGCGAATAAGTCCCAGGTCCCGGGGAGCTTGCCAGGCTTTGCCATTCAGGCGAGATACTCTCAGTAGCTTGCTGGGTTCTCTGAGAGGGGCGGAGGAATTGAACTCGGGTCGGACATGTTGGCTGCTTGCAAGGCAAACACACTACCCGCTGGGCTTATTGCTCCAGCCCAGAAACTTCTGAAATACATGCCATACGCATCCTTCACTGAGTTGTGTTAGGATAGGAGAGCTTGGGATGGGTGAATAGGTTGTCGGAGTAGATTCCTTTATATTTATATTTAATATTTATTTATATTTAATATTCATTGAAGAACCAGAGGAGTAATCAGTTTTTAAAATGTATTCAATCTGGGCCAGGATCATAGTACAGTGTGTAGGGTACTTGCCTTGCACAGGGCCTGCCAGGGTTCAATCCCCAACATCCCATAGGGTCCCCTGAACCCCTCTAGGAGTGATCCCTAAGAGCAAAGTCCAGAGTAACCCCTGAGCACCACCAGATGTGGCCCCCCCCCAAAAATACAAAAGCAAAAGGATTACATCAAAATGCAGTGTGCATATGGAAGAGGAGTGAAATCCTATTTGTATAGACTGAGGAGTCTCTCTCTCTTTCTCTCTCTTACTCTCTCTCTGCACACACACACACACACACACACACACACACACACACACACAGACACCTGTGTGCTGTGTCATGTCAGAAAGCAAGAATAAATAGAACATGCCAGGTGGGGCGTGGCGTGGAGTAGGACTGTGCCGAGGTGCGTGTATTCCCGCCTCTGAGCTCTGGTGGTACGAAAGATGCCTCTCATGCTCCGAAATAGAAGATGCCCCGGGCCTTCCTTTCTCTAAGTCCCCCGGTCAGGCAGAGGGAATTTAAATGCCAGCTGATGCTCAGATGAAGCCCTGTGTCCCAGAGACAAAGTCCACTTGGGTCATAGGACTCACTGTCACAGAGGGTTTATTTTTTGACAATAACCTTTAAAGGAACTTTTCTCAAGTAGCCAATTGAGCCTCTGACCAGTGCTTGAGTGTGGTTGGCTGTACTCACTGACTCGAAGGTCAGTTTGATGTTACCTCCCTGCCCTGCAGAGCAGCAGATGCCCTTTGCCCTGCTTTCCAGAGTTCGAGGGAGGCAGCCAGAAAGTCTTTTGACTGGCATTGCAATCCTTTTACGGGGAGAGCAACTGATTTTATTTTGCACCGTGGCTTTCTATGTCAGTACCTTTTGTTCTTGGATTATTGCACAAATAACTGAAATGGAGCCTTGTTACATGCTAGTTCAAGCAACTATTTGAGACTTTTCTGTGGAGCTCCTTGAACAAGGACTGGATTTTCTGGCAACCTGAGCGACCAGGCTCCTTTTAGACACCCCAGGAACGGTGCTAACTTGTTTCCCCCTGAGAGTCAGGACCAATGTGACCTTGCTCCCTGAAACCAGTTGGGTTACAGCTATTTCATAGACACATATTTACTGAATCAAAAGTATTTCTGCTGTGTTTTTTTTTAAACAAGTATTACCTCATTCACTTAAAAATGAGTCCTCCCCCATCTCCTCTTTGGAATAGCAAGTAGAGCACACAAAACACTACAGAATGTTCTAGAGATACCAGAAAGGAATCTTGGGACATACCCTTTCCACCTTGGCCCCTCAATACCTACGTCACTAGATATAAATATTGTTTTTAGAATTTTTAAATTCTGGATTGTATGTAATAAAAAGATAAATACATTCTTCCAAAGGCAGCAATTTAAATCATGTTTTAAAATAGCAGTTCTGCTGAGATATAATCGCATGCCATGCAATTCACCTTCTGCTCACTATTTTTTTATAGTAAAAGATTTTATTCTAATAGCTATAATTACAGTGCTTGTTTGTCGAAATGAAAACTGAAAACAAGTATACAAAGCAGTTGATTACTAATTATGTATTGAAAGCAGTAAGAGGTTCCACAACACCAAATGAACCATTTCTGAGGTTTTCCCCAAAATAAAGTTTAACAGCTCCAGCTTCTTCAGTGTTTATCAAAATACAAAAGAAAAAAGTTGTTTTTGATGGCAAATCTGACCCTTGCAGGCTGAGGGAGGGAAAGTATGGGTAGCGGCTGCCCCAAGGGACGTGGTTCTGGGGAGAGCAGCCCTGCCTGCCTGCCCACACTCCTGCCAGCCCAGAGTGTCTGCTCAAGATTTTGTATTTTGTTTCAGATGTCAGCTGGTTATTGTAAAGATTGTTAATATACATAAGGAATAGTAAAAAGAACCTCTGTAACTTTCAACTCAGACTCAAGGGTTATCTGACTTGGCATGATTCACCAAAGTCTGATTTCTCCTGCCTCCTCCCTCTGTCTCTCTTGTGTGCTCTTCTCTTTGGCTAAACCATTAGAAAGTTAGTCCTGTACCATACATCTGCCCACCTCATGTACCTCAATATTTACTTCTGGAGAATGTTCTTTTTCTTGTGAAGATATTTTTGAGATTGTACATCTAAGCACATTTAAAGTTGCATTATTTTTTTTTTCAGGTTCATAGTGCACCCTGAAAGGTAGACATGCTTTTCTTAGCTTGATTTCCCAATGATACTAAGGCTTTTTTAATCTTGCTATGGTCTTTAGAATCTAGTATATTTATAGGTTATATACATAATCTATGCTATATACATAACAGGGTATATTTACAAATGTGCACATACTGTTTTACATACAAGTGAGTGACTCTAAATCAGATTCCTTAAAGGGAAATTGCTAGGTCAAAAGAGATTGCTAAGTGATTGTAATTTTGACAGAAATTTCCGTAGGGCTAGTAACACGTTATATATCTCAATTAGTGGATAAGAGTATAAATGTATCCAGATGGATTAACAAACATATTGATCTTTTCCAATCAGTAGGTAAGAAATACTATCTTATTTTAATTTTATTTTTTATATTTTTGGGTTTGGGGTCATACCTGGCAGTGCTAAGGGCTTACTCCTGGCTCTGTGCTCAGGGATCGTTCCAAATATGGTGCAGGGGATCAAACTTGGGTTAGTTGTGTGCAAAGCAAGTACCTTACATGCTGTACTATATCTCTGGTCCCATTTTGGTTTTATTTATACTACTTTTTTTTGTTATAATGAGGTTGTACTTTTCTATTCATTAGCCATTAATATTTCTCCTTTTGTGTCTATAAACTGTAAGTTAATATGATTTACCTGTTTTCCTATTGGACTGTTGATCTTTTTTTCTTTTTTGTTTTGGGGCCACATCTGCTGATGCTCAGGGATTATTCTTGGCTCTGTGCTCAGGAATTACTCCTAATGGTGCTTGGCGAGGGGGCCATGTGGGATGCCAAGGATTGAACCCTGATCAACCAGATGCAAGGCCAGTGTCCTACCCACTGTACAACAGCTCTGGCCACCTGTTTTCCCTTAATGATTTATAGACGGCCTCCATTTTATATAATATGTTCTAAAAGTATATATATTTTTTTATTGCTTTCCCTTTGGATTTGATGACCCTTTGTCCCTGTATAAGTAAATACAATTGGAGGGTGATCACTTACATATCCAGCAGTGTTCAGGGTTTACTCCTGGCTCTACGCTCAGAGATTACTCCTGGAGGTGCTCAGGGGACCATATGTGATGCTGAGAACCAGGGCCAGCTGTGGGCAAGATAAATGCCTCATCCTGAACTCTCTCTCCAGAAATGTAAAGTAAATTCATCATTCTATTAATTATATTAGTCTTTTGGGCTACCTGGCAGTGCTCAAGGCTTACTCCTGCTCTGTGCTCAGGGATCACTCTAGGTGGTTCTTGAAGCACTGTATATGGTCCTGGGGATTGAAACCAGGTCAGTTGCATACAAGGCAAGTACCATACCCATTACACTATCTCTCTGGATCCTCTTTTTCCTTTTTTCTTTTTTTAAAAAAATGTGTCTGTAGAAATAGTACAGAGGTGGGCCGGAGCTATAGCATTTGTCTTGCATGCGACTCACCCAGGTTTGATTCCCAGCATTCCATATGGTCCCCTGAGCAACACCAGGAGTGATTCCTGAGTGCAAAGCCAGGAGTAACCCCCGAGCATCACTGGGTGTGACCCAAAAAGCAAAAAAAAGAAAGAATACAGAGGTTAAGGTGCTTGCCTTGCATGTGGCTGACTTGGTTCCCCTAGCAAGGAAGATAGTTCTCTAGCATTGCTAGTAGTGATCTCTGAGCAGTCAGGAATAACCCTGAGCTCATCCAGTAAAACCCTCATGTATATCTTTAACCCATCTGGAATTTATTTGAGATAAGAAATGCCCATTAGCTTTAATGCCACTGGTATTCTGGTTTTCTGCCAGCATCATCCAGGATCAAAGCAAATTGACCTTCAAGTTCTTTGTTTGGTGGGAAAAGATGAAAGTCCTAAGTTTTAATTTGATTTCTCTTTCTTTGAATTTGAACAGTTCCTGCCACCTCTCAGTGTGAGTGGTTTGTGGCTATAGTGGCAGGTTTTTTTTTTTTTTTTTTTTTTTTTAGTGGATATAAAACCACTTTTAAAAACCACTTGCATCCTTCTACACATGGAAAATTGTCTTAGTGGTTAATTAGATTTCATGAACCTGTGTTGTTAAAATTTGAGGCAGTTGAAAAAGCGCTGTTCCCAGACCCTAATTACTCTAGTTAGACTGAACAGAGATAATTCAGTTTCCAACACTCGCTGCCCTTTGTTTCGAGTGGCCATAGCAACTGGCTTTGAGGGACTGAGTGGTTGAGCAGCCCTGCATGAACAGGCTGAACCCAGACCAATGAGTGTTCAGAATGCAAATCTCTGTCCGTGACAACAAGGGGAGAATGTCTTTTTCATCATCATATTTTAACCCATATGCTGGTAAAGTGTGATATTCCGCACTATGTCCTAAAAGTGGAGGCTGAGTTTTGTTTCTTTTTATATTGCCCATGTTTTGCTCAGGGCAAATAAAGCAAACTCATTAGATGACTCACCCATATTATGGCCATTTTATTTATTACTTGGGTATAATATTTAATAATAGGAAATTGGGGGAGGGCATTTTTAAAGAACGTATAAGAAAATTAAGCCAAATTTAAAGGCCCAATGCAATTTTATGTGTGAAATGGAAACTGACTTTCCTCTGGGATCTAGAGCAATCTACCTTAATGCTGCAAATAAGGGTGGGATCTGCATCATGTTGCCAAAATGAGACCTCCTCCTTACTGAATATACTAGAGATTTGCTCAGTTTCATCTTGGAAATGCTGAAATAATTCTATTGAAAAAGTTATCCTGCAAGATCCTAGGAGGACAATGATGTAATATATGGATCGTTGGGTCTTTGTTAAGTACTATTTTTATGCCACAGTTCAGTTGTTTTTCTTTCATTCTTCCCCCCACCAGAATATTGACAGAGTCGTGTTTGTCGGGAATTTTCTCAGAATCAATATGGTCTCCATGAAGCTGCTAGCATACGCTATGGATTTTTGGTCCAAAGGACAGCTAAAAGCTCTGTTTTTGGAACACGAGGTAAGTCGAACTTATATGGACTTAATTTCACTAAGTAGAGGATACTTGGGGTTGAATAATGTATGAGTGAGCTTTTCAGTTTTAAAATTAAGGTAAAAAGAATAATGAAGAGCTGTGTATAAAAGGCAAACTCACTTAGCAATCAAGACTGGTAATGAGCTAATAATTAGTGAAAAGTTAGTGAAAATGGGTAAATTTTTTGGTTTTTGTTTTGGTTTTGGGGAGCCATGGCCAGCTCACTCCTCTTCTCAAGGATCACTCAGGGCTCACTCCTGGTAGGTTTGGGGACCATATGGAGTGCACAGGGATCAAACCTGAGTCAGATGAGTGAAAGGAAACGGGCAATTGATGGGCTAGGGTTATGAGGCCCTGAATCAGATTCCCAGCATCCTCTGTCACCTCTCCCGCCCTGCCCCAAAACTGGAACAGTGGGGGTGGGGTGGGGTGGATAATTACGAACAGTCTCTCAACTCTGAGCAGGTTAGTTCACTTTTTGTTGTTTGGGGGCCATACTGGGGCTGGAGGACTATTGTAGTGTGTCAGTGATCAGACACGGGTTGGCCACATGCAAGGCAAGCCCGTCACCTGCTGTACTACCCTCCGGCTCCTCGTTAGCCCAGTTTTGGGGGGCCATACCTGGGGGTGCTATTCATGGTTCTGGGTTGGCACCGCTCCTGGCAGTGTTCAGGGGACCATGTGGTACGAGCGTTGGAGCCTGGGCCTCCAGCATGCAAAATATGTAGTCCGGCTCACTGAGCTTCTGCCCTGACCCTAACTGTTTTGTTTCATTTAGTATTATTTATTCTGGTATTTGGGCCACCCCGGTGATGCTCAGGCATCACTCCTGGCTCTGTACTCAGGAATAGTTCGTGGCAAATGCCCAGGGAACCAGATGGGATGCCAGGGATTGAAACCAGGTAAGCCACATGCAAGACCAGTGCCCTGCCATAGGCTGTACTACCTCTCCAGTCAATTTTAAAATAAAACTGATCAGTTCATTTACTCACTACTTTGCTGATGTAAGACCAAGACCTGTAACTCCAACTGGGTTTTGCTAATTTGAGTTCTGCAGTTGTCCTTCCCTCCACTCCCCTTCATAATCTACAAATAATGTATTTATATATATTTGATTTCTGGCTTGATCTTTAACATGGATCAAGGAATTAAAGATGCTCCTGAAGCAATTTCTTAACAGAATCCTTTTAGATTTCCCTTTTTATCTTTCATATGTGCCATCCACATAAACAGAGGGCAACGGCTAGGGACTCCTTCATTCAGTCTTTTTGGTTTTTTTCCTTTCTTGAGATGTATAACATGAAATATAATGTATATGACATAATGATTTCATATGTGTATATGTTGTAAAAGAATTACAATAAGCTCTCCACCTCACTGAGATTCTTTCTCTCCTTCTTTCTTTCTTTCTTCCTTTTCTTTCTTCCTCTCCTCCCTCCCCTTTTTCTCTTTTTCACTCTCCTCTTTCTTGTTTTTCTTTCACCTTTCTCTTTTTTCTCACCTTTCCCTCTCCTCCCTCCCTCCCTCCCTCCCTCTTTCCCTCCCTCCTTTCCTTCCTTCCTTCCTTCTTTCTCTTTCTCTTTCTTTTTTCTTTCTTTTTTCTTTCTTTCTCTTTCTCCCCCTTTCTCTTTCTCTCCTACTCTTCTTCCCTTCTTCCTTCCCTCCTTCCTTCCTTCCTTTCTTCAGGCATCACACATGCAAGACATGTGCTCTACTACTGAAAATACCCCTTTCAATCCTTTTTCCAAGATTTGAATTGGGGATGTCAACAGATAGTACAGGGAGTAGAAGCCTGCTTTGCACACCGCCAACCCTAGTCCAATCCCTGAACGCTGCTGGGTATGGCCTCAAAACCCAAAGGGGCAACAAAAAGAGAATTTAACTGAATCTTCATTGATGTGATCATTTTTTGTGCTCTTCTGTTATTTTAGATGGTGTATGATAAAAATTGATTTTACGTCAGTAATAAACCTTTACCTAAACATAAGCATATCTGCAAGTCTTCTGCTGAGACAAGTGTTTGGCCATTTCTGTAGACCTGAGGGATGGCCTTAGCCAGCTGCTTACAAGAAAGTGGAGGACATGGGGTACTTCAGAGGACTCCTTATGTCCAGTTTCTACAGTACTATGAATCAGAGGTCTCTAAGAATGAGTGCAGAACTCTCCTCCCTGCCATCCTTCCCTAGACTTTATCTATTTTTTTTATGTAGGAGTACTGCTATTTATTCAGCCACTGATTAACTGATTGAATTGGACATGAACTCCACCTTACTTTTTTTTTTCCATTTTTTATAATTTTATTTATTGAATCACCATGACAGCAGTCACAAAGCTTTTGGGTCTAAGTCTCGGTCATACAATGAAACACCCGTACCTTCACCAGTGCCCATTCTCCACCCCCAAAACCCCAGTATACCCCCATCCCATACCCTCCCTCTACCTATGGGGCAGATGATTTCCACATTACTCTCTCTCTACTTTGATCACATTCAATATTTTGACACCAGACCCATCATTATTATTTGGGATTTTACCCCAACACTCAGATCTGCTGAAAAGGCAATACTAGACAATTTGTTTTCTATTGCTGGTTATGAATAACATATGATGCTGCGAGGCTGCAGTAGTGGCTGCACAATTTTGAAATTTCAAAATTTTAACAATTAAATCTGGAGGGATTTCTGCCAAAACCTGCTGGGTTCCAAGATTTGTTCCTGAGTCTCTTGGATCATGGCCGTTAAGCAGCTTGATCAGAACCCAGAAAGGCCGTTTGTGGGCAGCAACTCAGGGTCTTGTTGGAACAGGGAGGAAAGGGCCAGCTCCACCCCCATCCTGTGAGGCCCCATGTGTCTTGTAACTGTAACTGCGGGCCCAAACCTGACTGTCCAATGGCCTCTGGCAGATGGCGGCCACCAGGCCACCAAGAGGGAGCAGATGGAGGAACAGCATCCTTTCCCCCCTGGAGTGGCCCGCGGCAGTAACCTACTACGGGGTCTGGAGGCATTTCTGCCAAAAGCCAGTGGGTTTCAAGATTTGTTTCTGAGTCTCTGGGATCATGGCCATTAAGCAGTTCAATCAGGAACCAGAGAGACCCTGTCTCCACTTACATAGCTGAGCTGGAGGTGGTTTGTGGGTGTGTTTCCCACATACCTAACTTTTGGCCGTTTACTTTCTTGGTAAACTTTACCCCGAGTTTTTGCGGTCTAGCCAAAGGCACAGCAGCAATTTTGGGGTATCTGGAAGTCTGAAGGCGCCATCAGGCTGCTGATGCACTCGCCTCACAGGTACAGATTGACCTGACGGCACCATACCCCTCCTCCTTAGACTTTAGAAAGTCCCTTTAAAAATCTTTCCTGAGAACTTTATTACAGGAAGTACCAAATCCCTTTGGTATAATCTGTAGAAAAAAGCATCTAGAAAATTTGTATAAATTTTAATTTTCATAAATAACTACTCTAGCATTAAAAACAAAATCTCCAAACTGATTTACTTGAAAAGTTGCTGATGCATTTATAAGTTACTTAGAATTCTCAAAGCTTGAATTTTGTAGTGTTGCAACTTTGGAGGGTAGGGGAGGGTGGGGAGGGAGGGGAAGAGGAATTGAATTAGTCTTTACTCCCCTTCTCAGCTAGGAAAGGCTTATTTATCTGTTTATTGGTTTTCCATATGTAAAAGGTAAAGGCCCTCCCGTTGATCGTCGATTTGCTCGAGCAGGCCCAGTAACGTCTCCATTGGAGACTTTGTTGTTACTGTGTCTGGCATATCGAATACTCTCGGTAGCTTGCCAGGCTCTCCAAGAGGGGCGGAGGAATCGAACTCGGGTCGGCCATGTTGGCCGCTTGTAAGGCGAACGCCCTACCCGCTGTGCTATCGCGTAGGGCGTCTACCTTGCACGCAGCCAACATGGCCGACCCAAGTTCCATATGTAGCTTGTTTTAATGAAATAATTAAAGAAAGGATAAAAACCACTATTCTAGTTTAACACAAGGATCATATTTAGGGATTAAAACTAAAGCAACACCTCCGTTATTTTGTCTGGCATTTATCTGTTTCATCTGGCAGTCTAGTCTACATCTGGATCTCTTAGAATAATGCAGGAAACAAAGCCTGGAAGTTATCAGAAACTAAAGGCCTTTAGGAAGCTACAATGGTTAGTTCGTAAGATAAGAGCCAGTGTCTTTGCAGAAACTTTTGTTTTCTTGTGTTTGGGGGCCACACCCATTAGTGTTGAGGAGCTATTCCCAGCAGTGCTTAGCAGACTGAGTACTGAACCCAAAATTCCTGCAGGCAAAAATATGCATTCCAGTCCAGTGAGCCTTCTGTCCTAGCCCCCACAGAAACCCTTTTCTTTGAAAAATAGTCATTCATCACTTTGTTTGGCCTGAAACCTCTGTGGACTATGGCTTAGTTTATGACTGCACTGCACTGTAGCACTGTCCTCCCATTGTTCATCAGTTTGCTCGAGTGGGCCCAGTAACGTCTCCTTTGTGAGACTTGTTACTGTGTTTGGCAGATCGAATACACCACGAGGAGCTTGCCAGGCTCCACCGTACGGGCGGGATACTCTTAGCTTGCCAGGCTCTCCGAGAGGGGTGGAGGAATCGAACCCGGGTTGCCTGGGATTGGCTGCGTGCAAGGCAAACACCCTGCCCTCTGTGCTGTTGGAGCAATATTAGTTTATTACTAGGCATCATAATTCATTCTCTGTGGCCAAGAAAATGGGGTGGGTTTTCCTTGTGGTAGTGTTGGTTTTAGAGCCACACCTGGCTGTGCTCAAGGTTATTTCTAGACTCTGTGCTCAAGAATCATTCCCGGTGGGGCTTGAAAAACTGTATGTGTTGCCAAGGATCAAACCCAGGTAAGCTGTGTTCAAGGGAAGTGCCTTAACCATGGAACTATCTCTGTGACTTAAAAGTTGAGTGTTTCGCAATGGAATACTATACAGGTGCAAGGAACAATGAAATCATGCAGTTTGCCACAATATGGTTGGAAGTAGATGATAACATGTTGAGTGAAGCCAGAAGAAGGAAGACAAACACAGAATGATCTGACTTATCTATGGTATATAGAATACTGGATGAGGAAATTTATTTTGTAAAAGGAGTACGCCTAGATCACCCTTGACCCCAGTGTGTAGAAAGGAGACAGAGAAGGAAAGAAATCAAAGGGGGAAGAAGAGAACAAGTCGTAGTGGGTGAACAGGCATCAAGCGTCAGTTATACCACTGATACGTGTGAGGTACAGCCGTATACCCAAAATACAGATTCAACAGAACTGAAAACATGAGATCTAAGTGGCAACCACTGAAATTTTATAATGTGCCTGACAAGTTGACAGGCGGGTGGGGTGCAGGTTTGGGAGGGGGAGGGAATCTTAGGAACACCAGCAATTGGTATAGAATTATTATTGTATGCCTAAAATGCAACCATCAGTAACTTTATTTTTTTTTTTAAAAATTATTTTAATTTAATTTAATTTTGGCTCTTTAATTTAAAAAAAAGTGTTTCTGGAACTGGAAGAAACCTGAATGCCCAAGAACAGATGACTGGTTAGAGAAACTTTGGTACATCTACACAATGGAGTACTATGTAGCTGTTAGAAAAGATGAAGTCATGAAATTTACATACAAGTGGTACAATATGGAAAGTATCATGCTAAGCGAAATGAGTCAGAAAGAGAGGGATAGACATAGAAAGATTGCATTCATCTGGGGGATATAAAGTAACAAAGTATGAGATTAATACCCAAGAATAGCTGAGATCAGCACCAGGAGGATTACTCCATAACTTAGAGGCCAGCTGGGTATCCTAGAGGAAAGGGCAGTTCAGATAGAGAAGGGAGCAGCAAATAAAGGATGTTTGGAGGATCCTCCCAGGAGGGGAGATGCATGTCGAAAGTAGACTATGGACTGAACATGTTTGCCACTCAATGCCTCTTTTGCAGACCACAACGCCCAAAAGAGAGAGAGAACACAGGGGATTGCCCTGCCACAGAGGCAGGGGGGGATAGGGGGATGGGGGTGGGGGGGGATATTATCCATGGTGGTGGAAAATGGGCACTGGTGGAGGGATGGGTATCTGATCATTGTATAATTGAAACCAAAGCACAAAAAAATGTAAATCTACAACTTTAAAAAAAATAAAAAAAAATAAAGGGAAAAAAAAAGTGTTTCTGGGCTGGGAATTGGGAGTGTAGCTCAGCAGTTGAGCACTCGCCTTGCACATGTGAAGCCCTGGGTTTGATCGCTGGCACTGCAAAGCAAAAAGAAAGTTCCTTCATGTATCTAAGAAAATTCTTGACATTCTTAAGTTCCCTCTGGCATAGACAGGCCCTGCTGAAGGAATCTGGGAAGAGAGAGTTTGGGGAAGGCCTGATCCACTGGCCTTCCTGCCCCTGAGAGCGTCTCCTGAGAAAAGCAGTAGAAGTGGTCAGTTGTGGAGTCCTCACACAATGACTAGCTTTGTGTCCCTGTTTTATCATCTGTGAAATGAAACAGTAATAGTATCTTTCTCATAAAATGATTACGAAGATGGAATGAGTAAGTTCATGGAAAATACTTAAAATGATTTTCAGCATATAGTGATGAGACCTGGGGGGCTGGGGTGGGGGAAGCTAGTGAGCTACAGAGGCCAACATCCTGCCTTAGCATCTGGGCATAGAGAGACCACCCATTTCTGCAGGAACGGTTGAGTTGAGCAAATGCCTTTTCAAAACCAGATTCTCTCAAAATTTATTTTTTTAGGGGCAGAGGGCAATCCCCATACCTGGCTTGCTCACGGCTCCGGGCTTACTCCTGGCCGGCTCCGGGGACCATATGGGATGTCGGGGATCTAACCCAGGTTGGCTGCATGCAAGACAAATGCCCTACCTGCTGTACTACTCTCTGGCCCCTCAAAGTTATTTTAGCCTTCTTTCATTTGAACAGGAGTAGAGACTTTTCTTTTATAGATGTGCAGAAATGGAGCTCAGGGGGATTTCACTGCCTTCTTGAGTTGCACTGGAAAAGTTTAGAGTTCTTACCCGTGAACTGAACTTTGAAGTCAAATTTGAAATGTAGCCTGGATATAAGTCATGTGACCCCCCCACACACACCGAAAGAATAATTTACTTATTTGTCTTTCGTTTCTCATCTGTGAACCGGAGGTACTAATAGGAATTCTGCGCAGCAAGGATTAAAATTGTTAAACAATACACAGCACTTAGGGCACATACCATATGCCCAACATTTATCTATGCACTCAACATCATTTAACTTATTTAGCTTATAAACAAGTGATTGTCCAATAAATAATATTCCACTGTGTTTCATGTTTAGGCTTTCAGTCACCCTTTTTGACCACATTAGAGTACAGCATTTCCAGAATTATTAAAGCCAGTGCCAGACTGACAGCTCAATGGGCTTGAGTGCATGCGTTACATGCAAGAGGCCCAGGTTTGATCCCTGGCACCTCATGGTCTCCCCAGCACTTATTGTCATGGACCCAAAATAAACATAGAATTACTGAAACCAATAGGTATTTGGTCAAAATTGAGAGATTATCCCTGTTCCTCCCATCTTCTCCTCCCTTGAGAAAAAAATAAAATATGAAGTTCAGAGGCTAGTGATGCTAATGAGTCAAGAGGGTCCTTTTTTTTTCTTTTTTGTAGGGTTATTTTGGAGCTGTGGGGGCACTTTTGGAACTGTTCAAAATGAATGATGATCAGTAGAGATGAGCTGGAGATGGAACAACCTTCTGTGAGGACAGAGAACTGAGCATCGCTGCTGGAGAAGGTGTAAATGCCATGAAATGGATGGATGGATGGATGGATGGATGGATGGATGGATGGATGGATGGATGGACGGACCGATGGACGGATGCACGCCATGCCATCGTGACTGATGAACCTGCTGGATTTGTAAATACTTTAATATCCTTCTAGCTGATCTTTTCTTCAGGGGTTTTGAGCATATGTTTCAAAATGGGGAATTCAAGAGTTTTTTCTGTATACCATATTTTTTAAAAGAAAAACCATTTGTGCAGCGTGGCCAAAACCTACCTATTTCATGCATTGACATTGGAAAGTTGTATGATGTGTAAGAAGGACCTGAAATGTAAGTGCTGTTTATATTTCTTCTGGGGTTTACTGATCAGTGTGGTAATTTTAACTTCATTTAGTAATTACTCTAGGAGATTTTACCTTTACTTATATTTTTCATGACGTTTCATGATTTGCTGTTGGTTTCAAGTGAAACTACAAATCTGGCATGTTTAACTGTGAACACTATTTTGTTTGTTTGTTTAAACTTTTGGGTCTTGTTTTTTGTTGTTGTTGTTGTCGTTCCTGTTTAAATGTCATGGAAAAAGAGAGCCCTTGTGCTTGAATAACTCCCCTTCTTCTCCTTCTCTTTCTTTAAATTTCGTATTAATCAAGGTGCTGACCAACTCAGTACATACTTAAATGCAACATCTAAAATGCTCAGAAAGTGCCCTTGAATAGAAAACTCTGAAAGTGTCAATGGATCTAGTAAGCCTGGTAAATCTTGAAAACCATATGCAATTATATCTTACCCCTTATGAATACACTGTCTTTTGGTGGGTTTAGTTTATGTTAAATTAGTTGAAATGTTCTACATTAACATGTTCTCATCCACACACTGTACAAATGGCAGCACATCCTCCTCTAGGATGTTATGAAGTAGGAGGAAAGTCTCCCTTGTTGATTAACTGCACACAGGGAGGTTGAGGGGAAGTCATGTTTTGAGGTGGCAGGTCGTAATATCTGTTTTGTACATGTGTGTACCTAGGAGCATTGTAATGGGAATCTGAAATAATAAAGTTTTCTCATTTGAAATATCTTTACCTGGAAATTATATTTCAACCCCAGTTTCTACAGTTAACAAAAATTAAGATATTGATCTAGCTTTCTATTTCTTTTGGAAAGACATCATTGGAAATGATGGGGAACTTTTAAATAAGAGTCTTAAAACGGAAGAGATCTCATGTTTTAGAGCTAATCAGTCTTTGGAATTGAGCATTTTATTGAAAGGGATTTATTGAAGGGCAGTACAATTGCTCCATGATAAATATTTTCTTCTCTTCCTCCTGAGCACCATCTTTTAATTTTCATATTTTCAAGTCTTGAAGTTGATGTTAATTAAAGTATTCACTTGTCTGGTTGAAATAAAGTCTGTTTTTGTTGTGATGTTTTTAGTGTATATTTTATTTTTATTTCTTAATCTTTATGTTCATATTATCTGCCTTTGTACCATAAAATGAATGCATATTTGCCCTATTTTTTTGCTGCTCTATATTGCGTAGTTTGAAGCTTCTACATAAGTGAGGTGAGATCCAAATCACTGTGACTTCAATTGAAGCTGCCCTGTGCAGTTAATTTTTTTTTTAATAGCTTTATTGTTCTTCTACAAGTAACTCTTTACTGCCAAACGATCACTACCATATTTGGTAATTCCAATAAAAGCTTTCTAAATTTGGTCAGTGCAAATACATTTTATCAACTTCTGCCTGAACTTCTGGAGTTTTTCTACTTGAAAAAATTCAAGCAACATAGACAGTCTTAACAAAAGATAAGCCTAGAAATCTACATATTATCTGTGAGTGCCTTTACTGATCTACCATTTCAGCTCCCATCTGTCAGGAAGCAGCAGACCTTGGATCATGGGTTCTGCAAAAGAAATTAGGGCAAATGAGTGTGATGTTAAAATTTTTAACATTCTAAAAGCACTGATCTCTTTTTAAAAATGTTTAAAATAATTTAGTTAGCTAAGGAAATAAATCATTTCATTGCATATTTATCAGTGAAGGGATTTTAGGGGTTTTTTTTGTTTTTTGGTTTTGGTGGGGGTGGGGAGTTATGCCCTGCGATGTTAAGGGGTAACTCTTGACTCTGTGCTTAGGGATCACTCCTGGTGGGCTCCAGGAACTGTTTGTAGTGCTGGAGATCAAACCTGTGTGGGCCATATGCAAGGTGAGTGCCATACCCACTGTACTATAGCTCTGGCTCCAAAAAATTTTTTATAGTCACTTGGATTATAGGAAATTTCCTTTGGTTTAAACTTGGCAGGACTAAAGAATTTTTATCGTGGGCCAGAGAGATACTTAGTATAGGGGTTAAGGTGTTTGCATGTCGCTGAAACTGGCAGTGCTTATGGTCCTCTGGGCACCACCAGTGCTGACCCATGTGCACAGAGCCAGGAGTAGCCGTGGAGAACCACTGGGTATGACCCTAAAATTTTTTTTAATGAAATTTTATTTGAACTAAGTGGAGTTCGGATTGCCAGGCAGTTCAGAACATGGCTTTTGATGCTGAGACAGCTTCAGTTTGGATCCAACTTATTCAACATAAACTATGCAGGCAAACTGCCTCTTTGTACCCTGGTTTCTTCACTTATAAAATGGGGCAAAGAGTATTTTTATTAGCCCCATATAAAGAACTGAACATGGGGGTTGACATTAGTTTATTGTTCTAAATAAATAAAAATGTTTTTAAACTAATGTGTTAGATCTGATTTCTTAGCCTTCCGGAATGTGAGGGACCCTTTCTAGTACCAAGATACTTAACGGTTCTCTATATTGTAGTGGGTGTCCACAGCTCCAGACCCCTACGCCTATAATTCCAAAATAGCAAACTCAAGTATCTTGCTAGTACACTTCACAGAAAAGGCTGACTTAAGCATTGTTTATCATGCTCTGTAATATCCTCCACATATTTTAATGCAATGCTATTAGTATATTTTGTTACAGGGTATTTACTGTCCTAGACACTATGAGGGGTGTTAAATAATAAAAACTTCTGAATATTGGAAGATTCCTGGATCCCAGAGCTTCAGGTAAGGGATTGTGGAAATAGAATTGTGTTCTTCGGCTTATGTCACATAAATGGATCAGAGTCCTTTGGGTGGGAACCATTGTTGCAAGTCATTTATACTTGACAAACAAAGACCATTAAAAAATTACCTGATGTCAGGAAGGAGCTGAGGAAGAACTAAGAGGAATAGACTATAACCCCCAACCTGGCCTTCAAGCAGGGGAAGTCAGACTCTTGAGTATAAGAACACAACACGTGTGTCCTTCATTCTCTCAGTTATTTCATCCACGAACAAAGTGAAGATCCATCCTCAACAGCTTATGTGCTCGGAGAGAAGACAGATACTTTATTAAATAGATACTATAAGGTTTGGTCAGTATTCAGAAAGTAAGATTATGGTAATAAAGGATAAGTGAGGGAGTAGATGAGAGGGGAGAAACTCCTTTTGTCAGAGTGGTCAAAGACAAGCTTTCAAAGAGGGTCCGAAGTGAATTCAGTAGGAATGCACAGGTAAATAGCTGGGAGAAAAGTTTTCACTCATGGCAAATGGGAAGGGTGTTCTTGAACTCCAAGGAGGCTGCGGGAGCAGTGGGGAATGCAGTTTTGGGAGCAGTTTAGGGGTGCCAGGCCCTGTGGGAAGTCAGTCATTGAGGACTGAGGGCTCCTTATGACGGAGGAACTGGTCAGTTCTGGAGGAGGGCACTCCAAGTCTTCGAAGGTATGAATCAGAGGGTAGATACTATTGAGTGGGCCAGGAGAAGAGGGCTTCCCAAGCAGACCTATGAGGTGTAGCTTGCTGGGGAACTGGAAACGTTTTAGCAGCAGCCTGGTTAGTAAGAGAAATCAGACCCCAAGAGAGAAGAAAACAGGATTTTTACTAAGGACTTTTCAATACTAAAGACTTCGGTTTTGTCTATAGTCAACCTGGAGTCATCGAACAGCTTCAAGTATCTGACTTCTAAGTGATAACAGAGGAAAAATATCTATTGAAAATAAATAACCAAGTCTTGTGCTCTTCCCTACCTACTGCATTCCATTATTGTGTTTGTTTTATTTCTTCCCTTATGGGGAGCTGCTTAGTGGATATATTTCCCTGAAATATCGGTGGCTATGTACATTCTTGGGAATTTTCTCATTCCTCTACAATGATATTCCATGAGAAAGATTTCAATCCATGATCACCACAATTCCATTACTTGCAAGAATTGTTAGGAGGGACGACACTCTTCCTTCCAGATCAGAAAATGACCTCAAATTTATTTATTTTTGCAGCCTCTCCTAGTAGTGCTCAGGAATCACTCTTGGTAATGCTTGGGGGACCATTTGTGAATCTGGGTTGGGCAAGGTGAGCAGCTTATCTCTCCAGTCCTGACCTCAGATTTTTTTTTTTGATTTTTATTAGTGAGACACCATGAGTTGACCTCAGATTTTTAAGGAAGATATATTAATACACATGTTCTACTAGATACTCATTCTTTCTCTTTTTTTTTTTCTTTTTGGGTCACACCCAGTGATGCACAGGAGTCACTCCTGGCTCTGCACTCAGGAATTACCCCTGGAGGTGCTCAGAGGACCATATGGGATGCTGGGAATCGAACCCGGGTCAGCCACGTGCAAGGCAAATGCCCTCCCCGCTGTGCTATCACTCCAGCCCCTCTTTCATTCTCTCTTCATCTACTTAATTTTTACTAAGCACCTATGATCTGGGTCACGAGGTGATACTCAATTTAGTTGTGAATAAGACAAGTGCCAGGCTTTCATTGGGTGTACACTCTGGTGAAGGAGATAGATTTTTAAGTACATTAAACAATAAATCAGTTTATTCCCTGGCACCACTCCCAAACACTGCTGTGTGTAACGGAAAAAACAATAGCAACAATAAGAACAACAACCAAAAAAACCAATGCAAGCAAGTATGGCCAGGCCTTGCAGTTTAAGCCTTCCTTATCCAAGTGTCAAATGTATGATACATAGCTGTTTTTAAGGAAGGCAGTCAGATTTTTCTTGTTTTCATCCATTACTATCTCCCCAGTGGAAATGAAAAATTTGCTTTTTGGAAATAGTTTGACATCTAATTCATCTTTTTGTTTGAGTAGTACTGTTTAGTTTGACTCACAGACATTTAGAGTCATACAAAAATAATTTGTGAATTTATAATGCACCTCTTTATTACACATTTAAAGAACCAATAGAATTTGAACTGTTTTCTTGACTCCATTGTCAGTGGCTTTGTCGTGCAATTATTTAGTAGTATACAAAGCTCACCAAATTTTAAGCACAACTCCTTAAACCTTCATCTGGTCATGACACTGAATATTTTAGAGTAAACTACAGCATCTGTTCTTGTAATGTCTCAGTTGTTTTGTTTTCCAAAGGAGGTGTATTGGTGAAGCCAGGTGAAGCCACAGTGTAATCATTTCTGTAGGTCTTTTAAAGTTGGCTCTAAAAGGATCATCACTTGCAATGAAAAAAATAAGGGGCTAGAGCGTTAGCACAGCGAATAGGGCATTTGCCTTGCACATGGCCGACCTGGGTTTGATTCCCAGCATCCCATATGGTCCCTCAAGCACCACCAGGAGTGATTCCTGAGTGCAGAGCCAGGAGTAACCCCTGAGCATCACCGGGTGTGACCCAAAAAGAAAATAAAATGAAAGAACCATTGTATTAAAGACTTGTCTCTATACAAGTCTAAGGGGTGGCTCAACGGGTTAAGTGCATACTTGGCATGCAGGAGTCCCAGATTTGCTCCCTGGTACCACAAGGTCTCTATCCCCTTAGCCAGGAGAAACCCCAGAGGACTCTGGTGTAGCCTCAGGATGAAAATAAAATGTGTGTGTGTGTGCTCGCGCACACACACGCACGTGCGTTTTTGTCCTCATACCCAACTTACTTTTTGGCAACTTATAAAAATTTAGGTCACAGTTTCTCTTCAGAATTTTGAAGGCACAGCCCTATTATTGCCCACCTACTGGTGTGGCTGTAAGAAAGCCTGCTTCATCTGGGCTCCTGGTATTTGTTTAAAACTATTTTGCTTTTCTGAAAATTTTTATTATTTTTAATTTTTTTGTGCCACACCGTGCTGTGCACAAGGGTTACTTGTAGCTTCTCTACACTCCTGGTGGGCTTGGGAGACCACCTGGGATGCCAGAGATTGAGCCTAGGTTAGCTGCATGAAGGGAAGTGTCCTAGCCACACCCCACCCCACCTGCTATACTATTGCTTTGATCTGTTCTGAAAAGTTCTAGAAACTTCTCATTTCACCTCCGGCATATGAAGAATTTAGAATTCATGACTCTCATCTTTACAACAACGAAAGCCAGAGCTGGAGAGCTTAAAGGTTCAGGTGTTTGACTGTTTCGGCTGCAACCCTGCATATG